CAGATACAAGGTTTGACGGCTTTCTTCATGCTTGATAATATTTGGCCATATTTTTTTATATTTGAGAGTAATTAGATTTAATGGCTTTTTTCCTATGCTGTCGCTCTTGGATAGAAGAATTTTTTCTCCTGAAAATTAATGTCTTTTCTTTGGTAATTTTCTATCTCTGTTTATGCTTTTTACTTGCAGTCATGAAGAGGGTTTGTAATTTGGAGGTGTGATTATATATGTTGAGAGTTTAGTTTCCCTCAAATCCATAACTTAGAACTTCTCGACATGGTAGAGACTGCAACTCTACTTTCTGTATTTCAAAACTGCAACTTTCAATTGTTACTTGACATACTGTTCTTCTACAACATAGATTTTGTTGCTCTCTTGATCACAACTAAGCGTCCAGGTAGTTTGAAACTTTGGTTTTTGCCTTGGTCTGGAATATGCTACCGTTATGTTCTTGCTCGTTGGCTTGCTACTCATTCATTTCCTTACCTATTCACTGGAAATTGAGAAAAAAAATAAATAAAGAAGAACAAAAGAGGAACAACATCGGCGAATTAATTTGTTGGGTTTGTAATTTGTTGGGTTAAATTAATTTGTAATATCCATTCTTTTTTATTATTTGGATTTGTTTGTTAGGGGTGAAGAGAAGAAAGATGCATTTCATTAAAGACGAATAATGGTACTTCCGAGTTTGTTGAAGGCTTGATTGTTGAGACTCTTAAGTTTACAAAAGCGAAAAAAGGTACAGACCACCCAATTACCCAAGTGGTTTTGGAAGCGTGTTGATTCACTTAAGTGTATTTCTTGGGATTCAGAGATTTATAAAGTGGCTTAAAGCAAAGTCTGAAAAGTAAATACTTTTTAGTTATTAGCTGTTTAAATGTATTTTCTTCTAATAGGCTTTGAACAGATTGGGTCCATTTCAAGTTTACGAGAATTCTATGTAAAATCTGTAGTTCATTTCAAGTTTACATGTGTTTTATGGAAAATCAACATTCACGTATATTTCTAATGAAGGTTTGTGATTTTGGTCATTGAATTGATTTTAGGTGTTGGGATGCCAACTGTTTTGATACTCCTGTGTAGTGGTTCTTACACTGAAGAAGTCTGGCTTGAGATACGGGACACTAGTCTTGATCCATTTAGAGGCATTAGAATAGATGTGTAGTAATAAAGTACCTAATAATGCATTAGCATATTACCACACTTCTTCTAACTTCTTGAAGACACTTAGAGAGTCAAAAATTCCGAAACTGACTCAATTAGACCATTTCCAACTCTAACTATTTCACTTTATCTCAAAACCAACAAGAAAAAAGCAAAAAACATAAAAAATAAAATAAAATAAACAAACACTTTAACTTCTAAAAAGTTTGGAGAGCCATTATCTCTTAAATTCTTAATCCCAATTAATATGCCAAAAACCCTAGATCAACCCGTTGCCGACGAATCCAAACAAGGTACACAAATCCCTGATGCCCTTGTGTTATAGTCGGAGGCTTAAATTCAACCGCAACCGACGAGAATGAGGCGGTGGAGATGCCAGCGCTAATAACAAATAGCGGCAGTCAATGTAGGCTAAAGGAGAAGTCAGCTAGCTTCACTTGTGAATTATATGTCTGACTAATGACGGAGTTTACAGTTTTCCAATTTTATCGGTGTACGTATCTCTGCTGGTTCTAGATCTAGTTCTTTTTGCCATCACTTATCATTTGTTATCAGGTCATGTCGTTCTTCCTTCTCCCTAATTTTTTTTATGTTTGTCGGTTTTCAATAAATTAGGAATTTCATTTCAGGTTTGAATCATAAATGTCAATATGAATTTGATCTTTGTATTTAATTGACATGTTGTATATGTGGAATCCATGAAGATAGGCAACTAGATTATAGATTTATATTTATAGATTTTATTCAGCTTGTTATCTTACTTAATGGAGAGTATTAGTATTCAGAACTTGTTCCCATTACGATCATTTAATTACTTGAGTTGAATTTATCACCAACAATGTGGACTCAACTTCAATTGTTTTTAGGTAAAGTACTGAAATAATTCAATGAGTATATTTCTAATATTTTATAAAATGGATGCTCAAGACTCAAGACCCATCACCATATTTTATGCTATTTGTAGCTGAGGGGAAAGCTTATAGTTCATCAATTTGATTTGGTTATTGATCTTGTTTTGCACACTTGATTCAACTTCAATTGAATGCAATTTTTTTTTTTTTTTGGCAGAATGGCTTTCTTCTTTTATTTGAGAAGGAAGAATGAAAAAAGAGAAGACTTTTAGCCGTGGGAAATTGATCAAGAGACTTGGTGAATGGAAGGGAAGAGAAAATTGTAATCAACTTTTAGCTTGAAAGTTAGAGATCATGAGTTCTTGTATAGTTTGTAAAAGAGTGACTTGTTGATATATAAGTTAATTAGGTGTACCGTTGTATAGCTTTTTGCATTGTTTTGGGGTTAGTGCTACGTCTGGTTTGGGTTGTACGGTGCTTCTTTAATTTTTATAAATATAATAATAAATAATTATTCTCTTGAAATATATCATTTTATTTAATTTCTCATAAATTATTTATGATCAAATCATTTGAGTGATTTTATATTAATTTCAAATAATTATTATCAAGGCTTTAGAATAAATGATAAATGACGTTTTAGGTAGTTTATTGAGGCACTTAAAATGCCTCTATTATCATTCCACAAGGCCTTTAAAGTGTCGTTACAAGTTGTATATTATCACATTTGGTAAATGCCATTAAAAATTATATATAACTACACTAAACCTATTATCACATTGAAAATAAAGGCACTTTTTGAAAATGGCTTAATAGATAGAAGTGTGTTAAAAGCCCATGTATTATGGCATTTTTGGGTGTCTCTAAAAAGGATTTTTCTAGTAGTGTCTATATTGCATACCTATTTCTTGAATGGTGTTACTCCTCGAGATTTTGTGAGTGATAGTGAAGAAGAGAGTGAAATATCTCAGGAAAATCATTAGCCGACTAAGAGCACTGAAAGTGAACTACCAAGTTTCCTTTTGAACAAGCTAACTTATGATGCTAGATTAAATGCTTAAAACTCTCAGAAAAAAGGGTTCAATTCAAATGAAGGTATCTCCTAGCCATCCTCAGTATTTAATTTTAGATGAAGACATTTGTTAATTTTTTTGGGGTGGTTTGTGCTAAGTTAAGCATGAGTTTACTGATAACTTTCTTAGTCTTTAGACCTTCTCTATTACATTACATAAAATGTGCTTTGGCCTACGATATTTTAGTTTATCTGTATTAGTTATGTTGAAAAGAAAAAATTATCTTCAGCCTTCTTCTCTGTACCCAAATGAAAAAAAATTATGTTGGTTGATTTGGAATCTATATACAGTCTTTGTCTAAGGATATGGCCCAAGGTAGTGTATTCAAACCACTATCTATTACATTACAGGCTTGCATCCTTATGAAACTCTTATTTCATATTTCATTCCAATATTTCTCTTAATTTAATTATGTATTTAATTGTAATTTTTGTGTGATGGTGTAGATGAAAATTTGAAGTAATTTTTTTGTGAAGTAATTTCTACTTCAAGTAGTTGTTTTGTGAATTGATGTACAATCAATTGACACAAACGCTTGAGCAGATGCATAAACAAGTGATTGAGGCATGTGGGAAAAACGTGATCAAATCCCATTATGTTGTTTTCTCTATCCAAATCATAATTGGAATGCTAAAGAACTTCGTGTAATCTTTGTTGGGAATTCATGTTCATCTTGATTTTATCTTGGAAGAATGTGGTCGAACTTGGAGACAATCAAAGTTTATGAAAATAAAACTTCAAATATTACCCTGGGCCAAATGGACTCGGACTATTTATCCCCAGTAAACATATTGTTGAGTTCCTTTGTATTTTTCTCTAAAACTATAAGAGGTTTTTAAATTTGAATATATCTGCTAAATTGTATACATGTGTGATTGCATGTCTGTATAGTTAATGATTGAAGCAAATCCGAATTTATTTTCCCATGTATATACATCTTTTCCCCATAACTCTGTTGATTTTATTTGGTACAACTAGATATTCAGACTATATTTGCTACGGTTGAATAAGTTAACGTTCTTAATGCAAGGCTAAGTATAATCATTGAATTACAAAATCAGTAATTGCTTCTTATTACTCAGAGGTGTTCTGTTGACATTGTTTCCACAACTGGAATGGACAAAATTAGTATTGGAAGACCCACAAAGATTGCAATTGTGGATCATGAGAAGAAAATAACGTTTGTACTTTGCAAAGATGAACTCCTGATGCTGTGGTGTGGAAACAATGGGAGAAAAATCGAAAGCAGTGGCTAATTTTGCGGATGATAAAGAATGCAAGCCCATGTTTCCAGGCGGCTGCGTTTTTTTTTTTTAGGCGGCTGCTTATTTAATAGAATTTATTTATTTGTAGAATATTAATTTAGAAAATTTTTATTACATTACCAAGAAAAAATAAGAGAGGCCGTCCGGACATACGCGCGGCCAAGCATCTAATTTGCCTTTAAAGAATATTGCATGCTGGTAACTAATTGACTATAAGTTTTTGCTGGAGAGATTTCGTTCTACCCTTTCGAGAAGTGGTACTTCTTAGATCTCTTTAAGACAAATAAACCCACGTACGTGACGACTGTACTTACGGTTTGACAAAAATAACATGTCAAAGTGTAAGACCAGGGAATTCTCAACGTCGTTAGCATTTTTGGTTATATATCATATATCCTATGCAATCAATCTTCTCTACCTCACAAAGAAATTTCCATTGAAAGTAAAGAACTAAAAGTCTCCGTATTTGGGTTTTAATTTAAAATTAAGCGTGACAATATAATCTAAATAAAATAAATTTATGCAGCATACATAGAACTATATCCTTATTACAACCGAAAAAAAAAAGTCTTATTCATAATTGCAATAAAATGTTCTTACAAAAATATGGGAAGTGAATAAATTACAAACAACTACTTAGTGATAAATCAATTCCGACAAGGACCGGGGAAAGAGAGACTGCTGGGAGTAACCATCCGGCAAAGGAACTCATCCAGAGCAGAAGGGTTGTTCTTGAATCGGGGAACCTTTTCCAGGGCTTTAACGTAGTAACTAGGCAAGTAACCATGCGCCCGTTGATACACGTAAACCATTCGAAAGATGTCCTTACAAATCATCCGCTCCGTGAAGCCCATCTGTCTTTTATCTGGCAACGTTGCCAGATATTGGGCCGGTGCTTCTGCAGGTGCCGGAGATAGATGGTCGAAGTGGGCCATCGTCACGCACCTCTCCAATGTGTCTTCAACTGCCAATGGCAGTGGTGGTTCCAGTAGGGCTATCTTTGGTGCGATAATTTGACTAGCTCTGGCCTTGAGTACTGTTGACCAATTTGTTATGAACAAAATAACCATGAAAACTAGCAGAAGGAAGCCTACGAATCTGAAAGCTTTTGATGCCATGTGATTGAAACAACGAACGATGAGTGCTTATAATTCGACAATGTTTTTCTAGCCGGCCTCTGAAATTCTTGAGGGAAGAATGATTTTCAGGAGTTCTTTATTCTATGCATATTTATAGGGTCGCATAAACGAACGAATCCGAATACAAGCGAAGATAGGGATACCTAGTTTCATTACTATTATGCATTTCTCTAATCCAGATTGGATTTGTGCTATTATTGTATTTCTCTCATCCAAATTGGATTTGTATTGTTAGATTCTGAAGACAAAAATATCCAAAATACCCATCAGTGACACATGCAGCGATAACAAAGATCTACGAAGCCATGATAATAATAAATTAACCATTAGTGGTTATTGTATTAACTAAATAACCAAAGCATAACAAAATTCATAATCTCTCTATTTAATGATGACCAGAATGGCTCAAGAGTTGCACATCTATTAGACTTTCAATCGATTGCACATGAATAGTTTGAACTTTGAAGTTCGTGCAAAATATGGAATCAAATAGTTGATTCAGATATTCAAGTTAAATATTAAAATACCGTCACAACTTACAAGTGGACCAGAAAGAAAAACAAAGTGTTGCATGGGCTCGAGTCAACGGAGAAGCACTGATGCAAAAGTTGCCTCCGCGCAATGAACGTCTCATGGAATGCTCAGCTGGCAGGCAGCGCGGCCGATCAGCTAGCCTTGTTGTTGCTCAAAGACAACATTACTATATGAGCACGTGAAGTGACGACCATGCAAGAAGTGGTTTTTAGACAGAGTTTATATTTGTAGGCTTTTGTACAGTGGGATTCAACAGCTTTTCGAGCGAGATTGGATTGTAAATCTCCGCCATAAATCTAGGAAGTTAACTTAATTTGTAACAGATATTTTGGTATCGTTTGCTTCACAAGGACCTGATGGAGTACATTATAGTTCGAAGCTCTTCCCGCAGGAGTACATACATGGCTCCACCATGATGTGAAATGTTATTATTTGAACATAAAGCGCGAGCCTCCTTTTATTGTAACCAAAAAAAAAAAATCTAGTAGGGTTTTAGTGGGGATGGCATTTGTGGTTTGAAAATTAGATACTCCCTCCATTTTTTATTGTATGTCGTTTTAGGGTTTAGTAATTTTTTTAAAATATATATTGTTTAATAAATTGAGACACATTTGACCATTTTTTTCTAATATTGCCCATGCATTGGAAATGAAACAATATTGATAATGAATTTTCATTGGTCTGTGATGAATTTTATAGACCATAAATAAGGGTGTTTTTGTATTATAACTGCATAAATTAATGTTTTCTTGGTTATGATGAATTCTCTAGAAAGACATATAATCAAAAAATAGAGAGAGTATTATTCTGAATTAGGTCACTATTTATGAATTTTGTAGGAATTAATTTGTTGAGCTACCACCATTTCACCACAACTTAATTTTTTAAATAAAATGTAAGTTGTATTAATCTGCACAAACTCATTTACAACACCAATCCCCTAATTAGCTAGGCTATTAAACAGTTCTCAGACTCTAGCCATCAAACACTGCAAAATTTTCAGGACGGTACTTCCTGTTTTTTTTCATTTTTTTAATACAAAACTGCCATTTCTACAATAGTTCCTGTCGGATTCTCCCACCTCTGGTTGCTGCATCTATCAGCTGCCCTCCAAACTTCCTGGAATTTCTCTCTAACCAGACATGATATATCACTGCATTCAAGACAGCAAACAGGATCTTTTGCTTTGCCTTCTGCTTCCTCCAGATTCTTTTGATTCTTCCAACATGCAAAGATGCAATGGCAGTTTGAATCCCTAGCCATTTTCCCATATCTTCCATCAGTTCTTTTGCATAAGTGTAATTAAAGAAAAGATTATTGATAGTCTCCTGCTCTGTATGACACAAAACACATCTGTCATCTCCTACTGCCACCTGCATTTGCTTCAGCCTTTCCACTGTTAGTAATCTTCCTTTCCAGGCAAGCCAGCTAATGAAGCTGTGTCTTGGCACAGTGAAATTGTTCCAGATAATGTTGGCTGATCCAAAAGGCTCCCCTCTCCCTCTGAGTAGCTTATAACCACTTCTAGCATTATAGCCATTCCTTTTAAGCTTCCACAGTCCATTCTGCATCCCTTCTTTGAGCTTTTCTTTTACCTTATTTAGGTTTTTCCAGTGCCAGCTACTGTCATGTGGTGCTTTATACTCCCACCAGTTCTTTCCTTTGATGTAGTATATATGCAGCCATTTGATATAAACTCTCTTTTTTATTTGCAATATCCCAGATTTGCTTCCCAAGCATGGCCATGTTACAGAGGCCTGGTTCTTTGAAGTTTAGTCCTCCTTCCTGCTTCCTTCTACAAACATTGTCCCATGCTACCAATGGCCAGCTTCTGCCACTTTCCTTTTTTCCCCACAAGAAATCTCTACAAGCCTTCACTATTTGCTGAATGACACTCTGTGGAAGCATAAAGATGCTTGACCAGTAGGAATGAAGGTTGAGCAGTACTGCATTCACTAGCTGCACTCTTCCGGCATATGATAAATGTCTGGATGACCATGCTTTAATCCTGACTGTTATCTTGTCCACCATCACTTGACAGTCATTTTTATTCCAGGAGGTTGGAGACAATGGCATCCCTAAATATTTCATGGGGAAATCACCAACTTCAAATCCCATCATCTTCTGTATTTCATCTTGCGGTGCTGAATTAGTGCCTCCAAAATATATATTTGACTTCTGAACACTAACTTTTAACCCAGTAGTATCAGCAAAGTGATCTAGTGTAGCTTTCACCTTTCCCACTGTTCCTCTTTCTGCTCCACAGAAAATTAACAGATCATCAGCAAAGCTCAAATTGGTGATGCCAAGCTTTTCACAGTAGGGGTGCATTTTGAATCCATTTGAAGCTTCCATTTTAAAACTCCTTGTCAGATACTCCATGATCATCACAAATAAAAGAGGGGAAAGTGGATCTCCTTGCCTGAGTCCTCTTCTCCCTGGGAAGAAACCAAAACTGTTTCCATTGAGATTTAGGGAATAGGAGCAAGTGGTGACACATTGCATGATCCAGTTCCTGAATCTCAGTGGGAAACCATATTCTATCAGCATTTCATTGACAAATTCCCAGTGTACTGAATCAAAAGCTTTCCTCAAGTCAACTTTCATCACACAACAAGGAGTCAGGTTTTTCCTCTTATATAGCCTTATCAATTCATGTGCCAATAGTATGTTGTGAAGTATCAATCTCTGCTTTACAAACGCTCCTTGATTCAATTCTATTAGTTCTGGCAGTACTACACTCAGTCTATTGCAGATCATTTTTGAGATGCATTTATAGATGGTGTTGCAGCAAGAGATAGGCCTATATTCAGTGGCATTACTTGGTGATGCATTTTTTGGCACTAAGGAGATCAGTGTTGTATTGAGTTGCTTCAAAAGCTTTCCTGTTTTGAAGAAGTCCAGGATGGCTGCACTGATATCTTCTCCTACTATTCCCCAAACACTTCTGTAAAAACAGCTAGTGTATCCATCAGGCCTAGGACTTTTGTTTTCATCAATGCTAAACATTGCCTCTTTTACTTCTACCTTTGTGAAGTCTTTAGTAAGGGAAATCTGCCGATATACATTCAGCTTAGTTCCTGAACTAAATACTGCAGTTCGGGCATTAGTTCTTCTTTCAGTTTGACCAAGCAATTCTTGATAGTAGAGGAGGAAATGGTCTTCTACCTTGTTCCATTCTTCAATTAATTCTCCAGTGGCATCTATGTATGATCTGATTCTGCTTTTGGCTGCTCTTTTCTTCACACTGGCATGGAAAAAACTAGTATTTAGGTCTCCCTCTTGGATCCATCTTTCCCTTATTTTTTGCTGATAGAAGGCCAGAACAGCTTTGCTTGTTGAAATGTAATTTTCCTTGGCTAGCCTTTCTTTACTTTGCAATTCTTCATCATATGGTTTGAGTTCCAGTTTTTCCTATATTTCTTCTAGGTCCTTTCTACACTTCTGCTCCCTTTCTTCTATTTCTGAGAAATGTTTCCTGTTTAGCTCCTTTAGAGGCTGCTTTAACAGCTTCTGCTTAGCAATAATACAATATTGCTTACTTCCTTGCATACTTCTCCTCCAACCTGCCTCAACTAGCTTTTTAAAATCCTTACTGTGCACCCACATATTAAGGAATTTAAATGATCTTTTGTTATCCTGCTTCATTTCCTCCCATTTGATTAACAAGGCTTTATGGTCTGAGATACCTGCTGGTAATGCTGTAGTATAAGCATCTGCATATAGATTAAGCCAGGAGGGATTTACCATGGTTCTGTCCAATTTTGAAAAAATTCGATTTGCTCCCATCTGATTATTACTCCAAGTGAATTTTCCCCCATGCCATTGCATATCTCATACCTCTGCTGTTTCTGTCCATTTCCTAAATTTGTCAGTGTCAATATTTGCATCATTTACTCCTCCTATTCTTTCTTCATTGTGCAATACACAGTTAAAATCCCCCATGATTAACCAAGCCTCAGTTATATTCCCAGCTATTTCTGCCAGTTCTTCCCAAAGTTGCATTCTCCCTTGTGCCAAGTAGTCAGCATAAACTACAGTGAGATAATATCTCCTTTTACTCTGGACTTCTTGCACTTGACAATGCACCACTTGCTTTGTGATTTTCTCCACTGTAATATCTATTTCCCCCTTCTTCCATATAACTAGAATGCTGCCCTTTCCTTCACCAATATGATTAGCAATATAGTGATACTGACACCATTTCCATTTCATCAATTTTTCTACTTTAGTCCTTTTTAGTTTGGTTTCTAAAAGACCTGCTACTCCAACCCTATTAACAGACAGCCAGTGACCTACCTCCCTATGTTTCAGAGGGCTATTTAGCCCTCTTACATTCCAGGATAAGATATTACTCATGATAACTAGGCCCTATATTAGGTTACTAGTATCCAAGTAAATCTTCTTAATGGAACTCATTTTACCACCATTTCTTCCCTCTAGTA